ACTAAATATACTTCAACCAAAAGCACCACAACAAAACATTCACAACACTTCACAATCCCACACGGCACACACACACACACTTTCCTCCACACTCACCCTCGTGTTTCACCAGCTGAGTTTCACACCGGACTCCGCTGAGCTCCAGCGCCGCCAACACCTTCAGGCAGTGCGGGTTTCCCTCACCGATAAACAGCTTCATTTCACCGTCCGCGATTATGCTCCTAAAGTCAGACCGACACGCCGTATATACCGACAACAGCAAACAGAACCGGTCTGAAGCGATCATCTATTGCCGCTGATGCAACCGAGCGTCACACCACGTGCAGCCGTACAGAGAAACTGTAGTTTTTAGATGTCATCTGCTCTCGGGAAATGCGTAGAATTCATGCTGAGTGGAACCTACAATACCCATAATGCAAAACTGCAGGCGTAAACGGTGGTGTACGCTCATTGGTTAAAGTGTTAAACGCCTTGATATAATTGGTCGATGCCGCTTGCAAATGCTCGAATCACCGCGACTCAGTTGCATATTACTAACGATAACATTTTGTATTTAAAGCGGTAATATATATATATATATATATATATATATATATATATATATATATATATATATATATATATATATATATATATGTGTGTGTGTGTGTGTGTGTGTGTGTGTGTGTGTGTGTGTGTGTGTGTGTGTGTGTGTGTGTGTGTGTGTGTGTGTGAGTGTGTTTTATGGCATTCCTTATTATATATTTTGCTATATTTATATGAACTCGCTGTTTACATTTGAAACAAATATTACTCATAATTCTAATAACTTTATTTTAATCTGTCACTAGGATCTGATTTATTTTTAAATGTTGACATGCAAAGCAATATAACTCATAATTCGTATAAATGCAGTTTTAGCTGTCAGTGGAATATGGATATGATCATGTATTTTAGTATTTTTTATTTTATTATTTAGTTTTTAAGGCAAGGCAAAGCACGTTTATTTATATAGCACAGTGATTCTCAAACTGTGGTGCGCAGGCATCCTTTTATCCTTTACATGCAAAATATATAAAAAAATTATATCACAAATGATTTATCTATGAATATGATGACTGTATTTATGAGGTCCAAGCAATATTTCCAGGTTTTGATGAATAGGCTACTATAAGTTTTGTTTTTTACTTTTTAAGAACAGTCGTCTACCATTTTAATTTAACTTTTAAAAGCACATTTTGACATTCTATTTTGTTTGTTTGTTTGTTTGCTTATTTGTTTACCTTTAAGCACAGTACAGTGTTATTGTGCTACTGTGGCTGACAATAATAAATATTCTTAATAATAGGATTTAATCTGACTGGTTTTTGAACTGTGCAGTGCTGTAGCTGCTTTATTGGGCCTACAACTCTTCTGTATTTCAATACTGTTCGTTATGATGGTACTTGGAGAAACAATTTTTTTCGGAGGTGGTACTTGATGAAAAAAGTTTGAGAACCGCAAATACATACGCAGTGGCGATTCAAAGTGCTTTACATAAACAAGAATAAAAAAGACAAGTATAAGAAAATAAAAAAACAGATAATAAAAATCATTAAAACAGTTCTAATCAATTCTTAACATATGAATAATTTCCAACTGATCATTTTATATATAATAACTCTTATATATTCATTAACAAATAAACAAATAGAATAATAAATGTATTATTTAATTGATTTATTATTAATAAATTAATAATAAAATATATAAAACTCTTAGTGTTTAGTTATTCATTTTCTTTTTGGCTTATTTCCTTTATTAATCAGGGGTCACCACAGCGGAATGAACCGCCAACTTATCCAGCATATGTTTTATGCAGTGGATGCCCTTCCAGCCGCAACTCAGCATTGGGAAACACCCATACACTCCCGCATTATATTATTATATATATTTATTTCTACATGTAATAACTTTTTAAATCAAATGATGTATTTCATGATTTATTTACTATTTTAACATTTATTTATTATTTAATATATAATATAATAAATTTTATAATATATATAATAAATATTATTTAATTTATATAATAATAAATAATAATTTGTGTATAATATTTACTTCCTGTTTGCAATTTAAAAAAATATTCATAATTTTCATTTATTAATTTATTAGTTTATATTTGCTAACATAATTTTTTATTGCATAATTTTTTGTCATATATTCAGATATAATATATTTACATTTCCTCTCTGTTTGCATTTTAAAATGGTTTTAGTTTCATTTGTTAGTGGCATAGTTTCTCATATTGATATTTAAAGCAATATTACTCATACTTGCTAGAATTTTACCAGTCAATGGGATATTGATTTGTAAATATTTATTATTTTTTATAGAATACAACAGTCCTATTTTTAAGTTATATTTACCTTCATTTTGTATTTAAAAATATGATAAATTTTGTATGTCACCAAATTAGAGGAACATGAATTTGTTGATGTTTGTTAATATAATACCTTATTGCATCCTATACTCTACATTCACTTGCTGTTAGCATTAATCCAAATTCATTCATTCATTTTCAGCTTAGTCGCTTTATTAATCAGGGGTCGCCACAGCGGAATGAACCGCCAACTTATCCAGTATATGTTTTACGCAGCAGATGTCCTTCCAGCCGCAACCCAGCACTGGAAAACACCCATTCCCTTATAGTGCATGTGTTTGGACTGTGGGGGAAACCGGAGCACCCGGAGGAAACCCACGCCAACACACCCAGCTAACCCAGCTGAAACTCTTCTTGCTGTGAGGTGAGAGCGCTACTCACTGCGACACTGTGCTGTTAATCCAAACTGTAAAGTATAAATGTTGGTGGATGAACATTAATACAATATTCTCATAATTGGTGTAATTTAATTAATTAATTAATATAATGTTTTATAAAATACCTGCGTTAGACAGCAATGTAAAAAAATATAAATATGCATCAAAAAGGGCGTCACAGTGGCACAGTGGGTAGCACAATCTCATCACAGAAAGAAGGTCGCTGGTTCAAGTCTCGGCTGGGTCAGTTGGCATTTCTGTGTGGAGTTTGCATGTTCTCCCCGTGTTGGCGTGGGATTCCTCTGAGTGCTCCTGGTTTCACCCACAGTCCAAAGACATGCGGTATACAGGTGAATCGAGTAGGCTAAATTGTCCAGAGTGTGTGTGTGTGTGTGTGTGTGTGTGTGTGTGTGAATGTGTGTGTGGATGTTTCCCAGAGATGGGTTGTGGCTGGAAGGGCATCCGCTTCGTAAAACCTTGCTGGATAAGTTGGCGGTTCATTCCGCTGTGGCGACCCTGGATTAATAAAGGGACTAAGCCGACAAGAAAATGAATGAATGAATGAATCTTTAGGGGGTGAATAATATTGACCACATCTGTTTTATTCATTCATTCATTTGCTTTTCTGTAGTGTATGAGTGTGTATGGATGTTTCCCAATGATGGAAGGGCATCCGCTGCCTAAAAACATATGCTGGATAAGTTGGCGGTTCAATCCACTGTGGCGACCCCGGATTAATAAAGGGACTAAGCCGACAAGAAAATGAATTAATGAATATTATTTCATCAATTAGTGAGATATGAATTTACTCTTACATTTAGCTGTATTTATGTTGACTTGCTGTTTGAATTAACATTATTACACATCATTATATTTGTTAATATTTGTTAATGTGATGTTATACAGAATGTCTCACTGATCTATTATTCATATTTACATGTTTATTTATATTTATAGACTTGTAAAAAATCTGTTACTAGTGAAACACTTAATACTATAATTATATTTTATCCATGGCTTAGGTGATATAAAAAATAAAATAAATCTGAGCTCAAATATCTTTAATTAAACCTTAATTTAGTTGACTGTTTCTGTCTTTTTCAGTTTGTTTATTTTATTTATTATTCAAGTTTGCAGCAATGAATGAAAATGATAAAAATATATAAATATGCTACACAAAAAATTTATTTGACCTTTATCTGTTCATGAAAAACTTATAATATAATAATAAAAATCCTCTCTAATACTCTTCCACATTTCTTGCATATTTTTGTTCTTTTGTTAAATTGATAACTTCAACTTGTACTTGTTTTGCTTTTTATTAAAGTATGTAATTATTCAGAAAAGACTGCTATCATGCTTAATTAGCATAATGTAAAGTGCACACTTCTGCCAAAGCACCAAACAATACAAAAACACAGGAAACAGATTATAATTTCAAAAGAAGGGTTGTTGCTAGAAGAGATACAGCTGCAATCTGAAATCCACTTCGGCTTAGTCCCACTATTCATCAGGGGTCACCACAGCGGAATGAACTTCCAACTATTCCAGCATATGTTTTACACAGCAGAGGCCCTTCTATCTGCAACCCAATACTTGGAAACACCCATACACACTCATTCACACACACACACACACACACACACAAACTACAGCCAATTTAGTTGATCAGTTCCCCTATAGCGCATGTGTTTGGACTATGGTGGAAACCGGAGCACCCGGAGGAAACGCCAACACGGGGAGAACATGCAAACTCCACACAGCGACCGGGACTCGAAGCAGCAACCTTCCTGAGCATAATTATTTAGTTTATTTGCTTTTTTTTTTTTTTAGAAAGCAAGCAATAGAAAACAGCTTGTAACAAAAGTATTTTTTGTTTTAATCCAAAGTTGGGTTATTTTTTAATTAAAAGTAAATTATATATTTTTAAATCAATTGTTAGGTATGTGACCCACTATTGAGTTCAAACTACCCATCTTTTTTAGCATGTAAATTCTAAAACCCCAACCCTAAACCTACCCCTCATAGAGATGTAAGAATATAAATTATTATAATTATTGTACAGTGTCACAAAATTCACGCTGTGTTGACGTGAGTATCCGCAGCTGTATCCCCTCTAGACCTTACCTCAAAAAGCGGCTCTATAAAGCACGTCTCTGGTTGGCTCTTCTCAGTCACGTGACAGATCCCGCTGCCCCGCCCCTCAGCCGAACTGAGGCTGTTTGAGTGACAGTTGGAGCTCGAGCACCGTCCGGTAAACTACGGGAACATCGAGGCACCTGCGCTCTCCGGTAAGACCGAAAAACACACATTTATGAGAAGCAAAATGACTGAATTTACCACACTTAGACGGGATTTTAATATTTGGATTTTTCTTTCTGTAAACAAATAAACACCGAAGCATCCCTCCATCAGTTGGGCTAAATTTGTACTCGAAGCTAGTGAGGTAACTTTATATATATTTATTATTATTAAGTAAATATTATTATTTTTAAAGTGTGTTTATTATTTTAAGTACACATATTTTATTTTGTAAATAAACAAGACGCAGAAATTGTTTAGTAATGTAACTTCTCACGTAATGAGGAAGATACTATAGTAAATACTATAGTGTTTTTGAACCGTAACGTTACCTATTATAGTGCAGTGTGTTATACTTATATATTATAACACTTTGTTAATGACTACTCCAGCATACTGTAGTAACTATAGTGAACTGCTAAGCTGTAACGTTTTGTATATTTAATATAAAGTAAATATGTATTTTTAAAATGTGTATATTATTTATTTATTAAATATTTGTCAGTCTACAAATAAAGGAGATGCAGTTGATAATGTAAATTGTAACTTTCCATGTGATGAAAATACTATAGTAATTTATAGTCAATACTATAGTGTTTCTGAAGAATACACATTATACTAAAGTGTATTATACTGTATATGTTAAATATTTGTTAATGAGTTCTCCAGCATACTTTAGTACTAACTGTAGTGAATTCATAAACTGTAATAAATAATGTAGTACACTTTAGTGTGTACTACAGTAAACTGTGGTGTATTGTGGCACAATATAATCTATAGGAGGAGTATTTTTTATATTACTATGGTTTTTGTGTGACCATAGCAACTATATAATTACCACAACAGTACTTTACTATAGTATGCTTCCAAAACAATAGTAAATTGCTATAGTGTTTTTTATGTGGTTTACAATATTAACTTACATGTTTTACTAACATTAGCTTGTTTAAATCACTGCAGAAATCAATCAGGTTTATTTCTGTACATCAATTGTGCTGTATTGTGGCCGTATCCACTATTTAAGCTCAATATTCTGCCATTTTTCGATAATTGATTCGTAAATGTCGGTTTTAGCAAACACATGCTTGTATATTTGAGCGAGCTTATTGCTGTGGTGTCTGAATCTGAGAGAAACACTGTGAAATGCATGGGAGTCAGCCTGAAATATATGACATAAGTACACTCTAAGAAATGCTGGGTTATTTTTAGCCATTATGCTGGGTCAAACAAGAACAAACCCAATTATTGGGTTAATAATATAATATAAATATATTTTAAATGAAATTAACAAATGAACCTAACATTGGGGTTGTGTATAATTTACCCAACAGTGGGTTATAACAACCCAGCATTTATAAAGTGCTGACAGACATATAGTTAAGTGACATAAACGTGGCCTGATAATCTATAGTCAGATGAATAATCCTGTACTTTAGACTCTGTAAACACAAATACACAAGGGCCTTTTAATGTAAACCTAATAACCATTAACCCTTGATTCCACACTCTAAAAAATGCTGGGTTGTTTTAACTCTATGTTGGGTCAAATATGGACAAACCCACAGTCAAAACTACAAAACTACAACTTTCAAAAACTACATTTAAAATAAATTTTAATACTGTTGGGTTTGTCCATATATTTGACCCAACAATGTGGTACAACAACCCAGCTGTTTTAAAAGTTGTAAAATGATCTTGTAAATGAATATTCTGCTATGTTTTAGATGAATGTTGGATATATTTGGTCAGATTTGAGCACAGTTGTTGAGAGTCGAAAAGGCAAACTTTCTTTTAAATGAGAAATGTGGGAGTTTAAACTGAGATTTCAGATTTTAAATGAAATATTTAGGCATTTTTAGATGAATGTTACTTACTTTAAAAGGCTGGGTTGTTTTAACACACCCAGCGTTGGGTCAAGTATGGACAAACCCAATGTTGGGTTAATTATTTTGTTTAATTTAACTTTACTTGTTAACCCAACTCTTAGGTTTGTACATATTTGTACCCATGTTAGAATAAAAAAACCCAAGAATCTCAATTTTTTTTAAGAATGTAAACTGATCTTATAAATGAGCAATGCCAGATTTAATATTTTGGCATATTTTGGATGAATATTTACTCTAAATATGCTCAGTTAGCCCAATATTAGGTCAAATATGGACAAAAAGTTGACTTAAGTTCAGTTTCAGTTTAATTTAAATTACACTTTTTAACCCAGCTAGTCCATATTTGTCACAACAACCCTTCATTTTTAGTATTTGGTCAAATTTGAGCACAATTGTTTTTGAAAAGAAGGCAATGGAGAATAGCTTCTGCACTAAAAAATGCTGGGTTGGACCAACGAAATATGGACACATTGGATTAATTTTTACAAATTAAATTAAAATTAAATTATTTACTCCAACTGTTGGATTTGTCCATATAGTTGACCCAATGATGGGGTCTGACAACCCAGGTTTTTTCACAATGTAAACAACTCTGAGTAATGCAAGAGTTATTTGAGATATTTTGTTATGTTTTAGATGAATATTGGATATATTTGATCAGATTTGAGCACAGTTGCTGAGATCTGTGCAGAGAAGCAGGAAATGGAGAATAAACTTTCTTTTAAATGAGAAATGGAGGAGTTTAAACTGAGATTTCAAACTTTTTAATGGAATATTCGGGCATTTTTTGGATATATATTACACTCTAAAAAAGCTCACCCAATGTTGGATCAAGTGTGGACAAACCCAATGTTGGGTTCATTTTTTTAAAATGTAAATTAGATTTTTAATCTGAATTTCAACGGTTAGGTTTGTACATATTTGTCCCAGTGTTGGGTTAAAAGAACCCAAGAATGTATTTTTTAGAATATAAACTGATCTTATAAGTGCGCAATGCCAGAGTTTATATTGAGATTTCTGATTTTAGATTACATATTTTGGATGAATATTTACACTTCAAATGCTCAGTTAACCCACTGTTAGTCAAAATATGGACAAACCCAATAATAGGGTTAATTCCTTTAATTAAATTTAAATTACACTTTTTAACCCAACCCGTTTTGGGTTACATTAACCCATCATTTTTAGTATTTGGTCAAATTTGAACACTTTTTTCAGATTTGTTTTTTGCAATGGAGAACAGCTTGCGTACTCTAAAAACTTCTGGGTTAATTGAACCCAAAGTTGGGTAAAATTATCAACAAACCCAACTATTGAGTTTTAAAAAAAGGTTATTTTTCTATCTAAAATGAATTACACTGTTTGTCCATATTTGACTTAACATTGGGTTAAAAACAACCCATCGTTTTTAGTATTTGGCTGCATTTGAGCACAGCTAGTTTTGAAAAGCAGAGCTTCTAACTAAAATAATGCTGGGTTGCTTTAACCCAACGTTGGGTCAAATATGAACAAACCCACCCATTGGGTTAAAAAGAGTCACTTACACTAAATAAAACATTAACCCAATGCTGTGTTTGTCCATATTTGACTTAACGTTGGGTTAAAAACAAGCCAGCATTTGTTTGGCGTGTAATCTCGTTGAGAGATGCGTGTGATTTGTGAGATTGTTTCCATCATCAGGCTGATCTCAGTGTGTTGATTTATAACAGATCAAGAGAAAGGCAGAATTGCATAACAATGGTTTGCAGGACTGGAGAACAAAGCAAATGCGCTTTGCTGTTGATAATGCTGCTGCATCTGATGCGCCGGGCTGAAAATCCCATGAATGAAGCAGATTATTTCTGCAGTGTTTTCTGGGTTGTCAGTTTCAGATTGACTGTGGCTTTATCAGAAGTGCAGAACGCCTGCTTTTCTCCATCCGGCTGGCGTGACGACATCAGCCAGATCAGAGCGTGTCGTGTCTTATCTGTGTTTATTAAGCTTTCTGCACTCTAACTTGACTTCTGTGTTGACGTTAACAGTCATGCTCTGTGATTTTTGGCTATTGTTTCACACACACAGACTGAGCTCGAGATCTTTCTGCTGTCTTTATTTTTGAAGGTTGAATCACACATGTAATGCCGTTTCTAGAGTTCCTGCATAAACAGGAAGTGGAAAATGCTGTGAAATAGTGCAGCCTACTAAACTCGAAGCTGCAGTTCAGATTTCTTGCCTTCTTTCTCTAATGTTCACTGCCCTTTAGTGGAATACTTTGAATTGAATTATTCATAAAGAAATCAATCTGCACTGAAAAAGTGTTGCATGCAGAACTGTTGCAAACTATTCATTTGTATTGAGTTTAAACAAACAAATTAAGTTTAATAATGTTCAACTTAATTTGTTTTTTTTTAATTCAGCCCAAATAAATTGTTTATAACCACTTAACGTAAAAAATAGGGTAAATCAAAGGAATCATCTTTGAATAATTTAATAATTATTACATGCAGATACAGTGGATGTGTTGATCCTTTAATTTAATCTTGCATTATTTTATTTATTATTCTACCAGCATGATTTAAGCAGAGCATCTTCATGTGTGTGTGTTTCTGTATCTTTGATTGTGCAGTTCAGTGTGTGTGTGTGTAAGCGAGAGAGTAAAAGAGAGCGAGAGTGTGTGTGTGTGTCGCTGCGGGTCGATCAGGACAGACACGTGAATGTGACGCTTCTGTTCAAAACACTGTAATGGAAACATCTCACAGCCATGGGGCTCATACTGCAGTACACACACACACACACACACACACACACTGAACTCTGTCTCTCTCCTCAGATATATATACACACATATTCTTTCTTACACACTCTCAGACAGACATTACACACATGCACACTCTCTCTCTCCCTCTCTCTCTCAACCACACACACACACACACACACAATTACTCACACAAACACGTTACTCAAATTACACATGTACACACACACACACATGCACACACAAATAATACACAAATTGCATGCGCATACACACAGACACACACACACACACACACACACACACACACACACACAATTGCTCACACAAACACGTTACTCAAATTACACATGTACACACACACACACAC